GAAGACATTGAGCAAATAAATATAACAAACAACAGGGTAAAAAAACAACAAGCTATTTCTATGTTTTCCAACTTTTTTTATGTACGGAAATCACGATTTCTCCCGTTCTCTCTCACAGACGCACACACAGTAGCCTACAGACGAGCACTCGCGGACACATGCGGACAGAAACTTGTTGTCAAGAGTTGCGGCTGCCCCGCGAATTTATCAGTAAAATAGTTTCGCAGCTGAAAAGCTACATGACATTTCTCAGTAGCGAGGTTCTTGAAGCAGTTCAACTTAAAGATTCGCTATTAGTAGACGCAGATATTCACACGTGCTTAATCTCTCTCTCTCTCTCTCTCTCTCTAATAACGGCGTTTGACTGCATTAATAACTGCATTAGCCTGCATATCAATGGCTCAAGCCTCTGTTATTAGCTCTAAAATTACGTTTTGGAAATTGCAATGAAAGGTTTATGAGGTGCGCAAGAAATTAGTTCAACACACACGAGATTTCAGGACGAAAACATGACAAATGTCTTGAAATAAATCATCTTAACAATGTCTTGATGTGTGGTTGTGACTTCAGGCCGTTAAAATGATTAGAGAAATAATGCACTCCCGAAGTGGTAATGTGGCCACGACGCTGGAACCTATTAATGGAACGGTCTTTCTTCATTCTCAAACAAATGAAGACGTTCGATTTTTATTGACTGTACAAGCGCTTATTACGATAGAAAACACTAACAGTTTCCACTGATTACAAAACATTTTTGTTTGCTGGGGTGGTAATATTATATAGGCCAATTAATATGGAAGGGGGGCCCAAAATATTGTTTTGCCTATGTCACGATAAGTAGGCTAAATCCGGCCCTGGATATGAACCTTTTATAATTTGAAGGTTTCAAATCCAGTCACTGTCGAGTTTTGTGTTTTGTATTATTATATTTATAGAATGAATTGAATAGCCAGCTAGAAAAGCGATTCAATTTACCGGCGTTAGTTAAATCGCGAGCTGCTCCCGCCAGTTTTTTGGTCTGCGAGTGCGCGGGACTCAAACTCTCCGCTCTTCAGTCAGAAAAAAAAAAAAAAACAGTCGGTTAATTCAAATTTGACTAACTAATCATGTCAGCTGTGATAAACTTTAACAAACAAGTTATTAGGCCTACTTATTGAATCTTCGATGTTTACTATGGTTACACATGTGACATTAGCGCGAGAATAAAAAGGGTTGGGTTGTTTTGTCACAGGGTCCAATCTGAATAGATTTTTTTTTATTTTTCTGTTGGAAAAGTTAGTGCTTGTCGTGGCATTTTTCCTGTCATATTTTCATACTATCAACTTTTTTTTTAATTAAAATGTTTTTTGTCATTGTCGTGATGCACTGTTTTTCGTCTTGTCTGCGTTATTCCTGACTAAATAAAACAACTTTTTGTGAGTAAAAAGATCTAGGGTGCCATTTAGGACAGGACTTTATGTGTATTTAATTGATGTTAAAGTTGGTTTTTTTCTAATCTCTCACTATGTTTTGCTGCCCACTTTTGGTCAGTCTGGTGAACTACGCCTCTTTGCACAACAATGTCTACTGCAAGCCGCACTTCTGCCAGCTGTTTAAAGCCAAGGGCAACTATGATGAGGGTTTTGGCCACCGACCCCACAAAGAGCTTTGGGAGGTGCGAGGAGAAGGAGCTGAGGAGCAAGTGAAGCTGTCTCCTCAAGAAACCACCTCCAGCCCAACAGTAGAGGAGTCTCCATTGGTAAAAGTTAATGTGCTTGCGGCCACTTTAGAGACCCGCACCCAGGCCAACTCTGAGAGGATGGAGAAGCCACTGGAGACGGGACGACTCAAGATCTCCTGGCCTCCGCAGTCAGAAGGGGATGAGAGCGCAACCCATGTGTGTGGATCTGCAGACGGCAGTGGCATCAAACCCATCCGCCCGAAATGGCCTCCAGAGGGCGATGCGGTATCAAGCAACTCGGACCAATCTGATCTCCCAAAGATTCGCAGGAGCGTCTCACTCAAGGAGAGAAGCAAGCCGTTTTCCATCTTCAGCTCTGCGCCGGTCACTCAACCCAGCAAGATTTGCCAAAGATCTCCTTCAACTGAGAAGCCAAGCTCGGAGGAGGTAATGTCACCCGTTTCTTCCACCACCGACACAGTGATCTCTTCCGAGGACATGACCGAACACAACCAATCAGAAGAGGAGGAACAAGGTGAAACCGAAACCAAGGAGGAACACGATGAGGAAAAGATGGAACAGGAGGAGAAAGTGGAAGCACGAGAAGAGGAACTGTCCTCTCTAAAATGCAGCTCACCAGACAACAGTCCTTCATCGTCGCCCGAGAGCGAGTCTGGGTTGGATCCCGAGGAGAACCAAGCCTCACAAGATGTGGGTTTTTGGGATGGAGAAGAAGCTGAGGAATACAGAGCTGATGTCTCTGTGGAGGACCTCATTAAGAGGAACCGTCGTTATTACGATGAGGACGAGGAGGATGTGGTCTGAGTGATAGATTAGTTGTCTATGAACTTTCATTTCCCAGAAGCACCAGCGTATTTTCATGTAGTCTCCATTTGTGGGTCTTTTGTCTGTCTTTTGTGCAATTTCTTCATGTTTTCAGCTTATACATGTGCCTATAAATGTAAACGAACTAAAAACCAAGTAGTTGGCAGGTTATTCATAAGGTTTCTCTAGTCTAGATGATACACTAGAGCTCTTACTGTCTCTTCAAGCCTAGTTTTATGAAATTTTAATTCGTTTGGTACTTTTTTTATGTTTTATATATTAATAGGCTGGGATATTTTATTCAGCTGCTGTTCAATTTCAGAAAATTTGCATGCCTAAACAATTAAAAAAAATAAACAAAACAATTTAATTTGATTATTAGGCCAATCTTAGTGTTCAATTTAAGCACCCATCTTTTTTGTTTTGTTTTTTTATTTCACACAAGTGGTCTATCACAAATGTAATGCACTTGGATGTACTTTAAAGGTTAAACCCCCCCCCCCCCCC